CCTAGTGGCACAATGGGTTAAAGCACAGTACTAAGGAGTTAAAGCCACTTCAGCATGACTTAGATCCCTACCCTGGAGGTGATCCACTTGATGAAGCAAACTTCTCCTGACTCACCTGCTTCTCCTCTCAGCAGTGTACTTCCTCAGTCTGCCTGTTCTGCTCCCCACTCTGTCTCTGGGGTGAATCCTCTCACAAGCCATGCAACTCTGGGCTGTACCCCAGTTCTATATGCATAAACACGATAAATCTTAAAAAATAATAAAAAAAAGTATCTTCTATAAAAGATCAATGTTACAAAAATGAAAATATAAAAGAAAACAAAGATGGGGCACACAAAATAAGTGAAATGATATTAAAAATCTGAGTGTGTTGGAGGCAGTAAACAGTAGAGGTTATAAAATAACCACTTATAAATTAGGGAATAAGCATTAACAATGTAGCTTAGTATGGATTGAAAACTATTAGGAAAAAATGAACAAAAATAAGAGGATCTTTGATAGATGCAATGCATGTAGAATAAGTTAAAATAATTTATGAATTAGAACAATTAAAATACTTGAAATAGTTATACTTAATAGTCAGATTTCTAATGTAAAAGTATCCAAAGAACACACGATGCCTTTCTAGTTTATTCAGTGCACTTTATGTGTTAGAAACTGAGCTAGGACTTTTTAAACATTGCATCTTTTAAGCTTTATATAACACTGTGAGGTATTTATAACCCAATTGTCACTTGAATGGATTTAATTGTCTCTTGGAGACAAATGTTACATAGAACTCACTTCTCAGTGATCTGTCATCTTCCTGATCATCGCACTGCCTGCTCTCAACTCTCAGTCAAGTTCCAAAAATATGTGCACTTATTTTGCATGACTTAAAAACATTATTTTACTGTGATAAAAACACTTAACATAGGATTTGCCCTTCTAACACATTTTTAAGTGTGCGATACATTATTGTTGGCTACAGGTATACTGTTATGTTATTTTATTCATCCTGTTTAATTGAAATTTATGCACTTTGACTAGTAAGATCCTGTTTTCTCCTTTTCCAATTTGAAATTTTGAAATTGAAAATTGCTGTGGTAGTATGCTTGACTGTTTTAGATCGGTCACATAAGTGAAATTGTACAATAATTGTCTTTCTGTGACTATTTTATGTAGGATAATATCTTGTTAAAAGGTCAGTTCCAGCCTTTGATGCAGCCCAGTGATCAACATAGAGAGGTCCCATCCCAGCTCTGTATTAACACTATCATACACAGATGGAGAACAGTAAAATCACTCCTAAAAGTGTATAATTATTTGAACAATTTCCATTTCATTTTTCACTGACCAGAATAAGTAAAATAATGTACTCTTATGCTTTTAAAGAACAGACTGAGTTCAAGATACATTATTAGTTTCTGTTGCAAAGGGTGTCCTTAGATTGTCCCACTACCATTGGATATTGGGGTGTAAACAGAGGATACTGAATCACAGAAGGCACTGGGGGGCAGTAAGAAAATCTGCTGTCTTCCATCTTTAAATCAATAGTCAATAGTCTCTTTAATAGTCTATGTGTTACAATGATGAGGGATAGAGAAATATACATGGTTTGGCAAGGACAAAGAATTTCCAAGACAAGATTGCCAAGATGCAATAGTTCCAAAGATGCATGGGCAAGCAGTAAAAATAGTTTTAGAATCTGAAGGAAGCTAGAAGTTACTTTTGATGAAATAGCCTGTGTAAAGCATCCTTGCTAACTCAAGAAAGACATGCCAATGTAGGAAGCATCAAAGCCAATATGTATTCACCACACAGATGACAACATTTGCAGATTAAATATGCAGGTTATTCATTAGTCTGTATATCTAGCAGATTAACCACTTTTGAAATGCAATGATCACACATTAATCATGTTTTAAAATTGAGTTATTCTAAATTGCTTGAATGTCTCTGAAAGTAACTAATAAATGATGCTTATGTGTGTTGGTCATTGAATAGAGACACATTTTTTTTAATTCAACAATTAATTATTAAACATCCAGTCTGTGTTATGCATGAGTTGATAGAATCTGAGAAAACTGTGTCTGTTCTCTCTGTCTCCACTAGAATAGGCTCAGTTCATTTTAAGTTGTATACTTAAAAGGTAGAAAAAAGTGATATATACACAGCTGTACTGAAGCACTATACACACACACACACACACACACACAATGGAATACTACTCAACTACAGATATGATGCAATCCTGCCATCACTCTTGTTCCTGAATCACCTTTGGTAAGAACAGTGACTTAATACAGATAATTTTCTCCAGTTATTTCTCAGTGTTGATTGCTTTCACTAGTGTAATTGAGTCTAGTTTTAAAAATCAACTCTACAGCTTGATATTATTTGACTTATTACACAGCTCTCATGATTTAACAAACTCATAGGCTCTGCTACATGCTTTGTCTGAAGAGGAAATACATTTCCATTATTAAAATGACAGTCTGGGGCCCTCCCTGGTGGCACAACGGGTTAAAGCACATTATGAAGCGATCACAGCCACTGCAGCAGGAGCTTAATCCCCAGCCAGGGAGCTGACCCACATGGTGTCAGACCTCTCCTGACCTGCCCGCTGCTCCCTTCAGCAGTATATCTCAGTAAATCTGCCTGTTCTGCTCTCCACTCTGTCTTTGGTGGATCCTCTTACTCCCTGTATCTCTGGCCTGGACTCCAATTCTGTATGCATAAATAAATGAATCTTTTAAAAAATGACCATTAATGGACTAGTGTGATACTACTGTTTTATTGGCTATTAATGAAAGATAGTTGTGGCTGGGTCAGATTTTGTAAAACATACAAAATGGTATTACTTTTATAACACTGGGGTAGCATATTCTAATGACAGCTTTTATAACTATTAGACATCTGGCCCTGAATTTTCTGCAAATGTCTAGATTTTTATAACCCACACTCTTAATTAATTTTCCATCATTTTAAGTAGTTAGCTCTACTTTAACCACTCAGATAAACTCCTGGGAATAATTTTATAGAAAGTTCGAACAGTCTGATCCTTGCTAATGTCTTCCTTTTAGAAACATTTGTAATATTTTGTTACTATACATCATTTCAGGTAGTATATTTGTGGAGTATACCCACATACCTGCACACCTATACACAAATCCTCCAATATTTGAATATAAATATTCAATTATCTATGTTCCAGGAAATATGCCATCTACTCTGTATATATTCATACATTTATTTTACTTATTAATTTGTTACTTATTAATTAAATTTCTTTAAATTTCTTTACATTTTTATTTATAACATATTCAACTTAATTTTCTCTATTGGATGATAAAGGGAAAAAAAACTAAAATCTAAGAACTTAAGCAAATATTTAATGTTATTGTCATCATTTTACTAAAAGAAAGTTGAATTTTCTTTGAGTCTTTTTAATTGAATATGCACCATTAAGAGAAAAGTGTAATGGTTATGATGACCATGTTAGACTCTATGTGTTTCTACATGTGTATTTTATTTTTATTGCAGTAACGCTGGTTTTTCTACATCACAGCTTCCATATGGGCAATGTTTTTGGAGTAAACGAGAGGAGGGACAAGCATCGATTAGGAAATAGGTGTAGGGCTCTAAATAAGGCAGGGGAGATGACAAAACCAGCGTGACAATCACAATGATAGAGACAGATACATGAGCAGGGAAGATATTTTAAAAAGAAAAGGTTGCAGCGGGTTAAAGCACAGCACTAAGAAGCTGAAACCACTTCTGCATGAGTTCGATTCCCGCCTGCCCCGGAGGTGACCACATGGCGTGGCAGACCTCTCCTGGCCCACCTGCTGCTCCCCTCAGCAATATACTTTGTCAGTCTGCCTGTTCTGTTCCCTGCTCTGTCTCTGGTGAAGCCTTTCACCTCCCCTGAGCCTCTGACCTGTACCCCAGTTCTGTATGCACAAATAAATAAATCTTAAAAAAAAAAAAGAAAGAAAGAAAGAAAGAAAGAAAAGGTTGCATGTTGTTATTTTGACATTGGTCTCAAGAGTAAAGGGGTAAAATATGGATTTTAGGATTGTAGTTTGGGTTTCATAAAAAACAGATTGAAATAGTCAAATAATTCAAAGATGGAATGAGTTACCCAAGAAATAGATGGGGTCAGAATATGATTAAAATTGTGAAGTATATTATGGAAAACCAAAACAATAGGGTAGTTGTAATTCAAGTTCCAGGAAAAAGTTAGGTTTGCCAAAATATTAATAATAATACATTTTTCCAGTTCTGATTTGTCTGAATACATGTTCTATTTTTTTAAATACTCAATGAACAGATATGTACATTAAGGAGTTTATATTTAAGATGGTTATATATCAGGAGAGAAAAATATTTTTCTTGTGAAATTATTCACATGAGCAGTGGAAAAGTACTGTACTAGTATTTAAAATTTCAAATAAGTCTATAAAATAGGTCGACACCCCCCCAAAATGAGAATATTTTGGTTGAAAGAGAACTCTGCTAATCATATAGAGAATAAACTGAGATTAAAATTATTTATCTGAATCTGAGTTTCTTGAAAACAGAACTTATACTTCTCAAATATATACTGAAAGGAGCACAATCAGTTTAAAATTAAAATTATACATCTTAATCTTATGATAATAAGTTCAGAAATTCTTCACAATGTAATGTCAAGTTAGGGATTTTAAATATAATAATGATGTAGGCTAGTGGGTTTTTCCTTGTTAATATATTAGAAATTTAAATCTAAGTTGCTTTCTATGAAAAACTGTCTTTGAAACAGAGTTTTAAAAAGTATAGATCAACTTTCATTTTATTTTAAATCTAGTCCAACAAGATGTATAAGTATAATTATTTAAAACTATTGATAGTGACCAAATCTGAAATAGTGAAAGTTAAGGTAACCATTGTTATCATTTTTTGCTTTGATGTTATGTGAAGATATTGATATTTGCCAAAATTATTTTTGACACTCTTTTTTTTCTACCTCTTTGAAGCTTCACACTGACCAAGATACAGGTGATGGAAATTTAAAATACATATTAACAGGAGATGGGGCTGGCAGTCTGTTTGTTATAGATGAAAACACAGGAGATATTCATGCTGCAAAGAAACTAGACAGAGAAGAAAAATCCCTGTACATTCTTCGTGCCAAGGCTATAGACAGAAAGACTGGGCGACAGGTGGAACCTGAATCTGAATTTATCATTAAAATCCATGATATCAATGACAATGAGCCAAAATTCACAAAAGAGTTATATACTGCCAGTGTTCCTGAAATGTCTGGAGTCGGTAGGTACATGCTAATCCCTATATGTATATTTTTTACTTTGTTTGCTAAGGTAGTTTTTGGGGACAGTTATGAAATATGGATTATTTTAAGCTGAGAAGTATAACTAGAAGCTACTACCTAGTGCTAACTCATTTCTAATTATTTCCAGTTGTCTACATCTTACTGTCCCATGTTCTAATATCACATATCTAAATTGAATGCTGAGAACATTGATTCTACTACATTTCAACCAATATCTCTTCTACTCAGGAGTTTTTCAAAGAGCAATCAAGTTGAATAATTTTTTTTTTTATTTTTCCAGAATGAAAGGAATACCAAAACATCTTTCAACACTTTGCAATACTTTTGCTTGTAGGATTTTGAATAGTAACAAATAATGCTTGCATTTGACAAATTTCTTCTGATAGCCCCACTTGATCACTTAACCAATTTCATGTGGTTGACAAGGGAAATAGAAGTTTTAATTTCTCTTCTGTTAATTAAGAATCCCATATTCACAGAGCTTAAGCAACTGAATTAAGATCATAATATCACTGCAAGTATTTTTTTAATGTTACTTTATTTTCCACTACCAAATAGGAGTTTATTGTACAAAGAGAAATTTTTTAGTTTTTTAATGTCTCAATTTTTAAGGCTGCCCACATCATTTATTATCATGCGATGCTTTTATCTGTATGCATGACCATTTTAAACTGTGATTGTATGATATTGAGACTTATAACTGAGGTGAAATTTGAATACTTAACTATAATTTATTTCTAAAAATAAGTGCAACTTACTGTAATATCCCAACTCTGTGATGAATTTTTAAAATTTGATAGTTGAATCTTTTTTTCAAAATCAGTCTAAAGTATTTAAGTTTGAATTCATGATAATGAATACATTTTTTAATGTAAGCTAATATCTTTATGAAGGAAAACAAACTTGTACTGAATGATAGATATGAAATATTGTTTAACTATGTGTTCCCTCTGCCATGAGTTAGGATTATCATATTAGAAAGGAGTCCTATGATATAAAGTCTAGGGTGAAATAGGAGTGATATTTCTTTAATGTGTTAAAATATTAAACCTGATATACTTCAGAGAAGTACTGTATAGTTCCATATAAGTCAGATAGTGAACATATGTAGTTATAAATCTTCATCTGTTTATGGAATATTAATTAAGATGAAGATTCACCTAAAATTATGTTCTCTAACTCCCTGTTGATGAGTATTCTAAGTAGTTTGTTTTTCAGCTTAACAACTTTTAATCTTTGTAAAACATTATTGAATTTCTTGTGTTTGCTATTTTGTCAATTATTTTGACATTTAATGGAACAAAAACTCTCACATAATCTTCTCCAGAAAGGTTTGTCAAACCTACTGAAGCATGTCAAACCTATTGGAATAAAAAGATATCTGAGTGATGAATTTTAATAATTGACTTATATTTGAATAATTCCTAAAATTGTAGCATTATATCATTTTCAAAAAGTGACTGTGTCTTTATTAGGGACTACTGATATTCAAAATCAAAATACCTGCATTTTCTTCCATGTTCCTTTGTGTTATTAAAATGAATATTACCTCTTATTCTGTATATTCCTATTTTTATCTGTCTAATTAAAATACATTCTTTCTTAGTTGAAATATAATGAATATCCTATTAATATTTATCAAATATATAATAATATCAGAACTGTACTAAGCACATCTAGTTTTTTTTTTAATTTCTCTTATCCAATTATCTATAATAAACTATAGAATACTATATAATTTCCTACATGAAAGAAGATTTGCAGATTATGTTACCCCAAAATATCCCTTTTAGAAGGCAATCTATTTCCTAACTCTTTAATTGTGGTTATTAAATTTCTGATTATTGTAGGCTTAAACATCAGAATTTTTACTATTGCCAGTTGTTTTCCTGCCATGTCTATAGTACAACAAACTGATGGAAATATAGACTAAGCTGATATGTGATCCTGATTATACTATTTCCACATAATAAGAATTAAAAAAAAAATAGGTAGGCTTTGGTCCTATTTGCTGAGAAGTTATTTTTCTTAATTACTCATACTAACATCAGTGCAACAATTGTTTCTACCTTGTCTCTTTTCTATAGACATTATATGTCTTTGCATATTAGATGATAAATGTGTGTGTGTATATATGTGTGTGTGTGTGTATATATATGTGTGTGTGTGTGTGTGTATACAGCATGTATATGCAGAAGATACTAGGTTTAAATGCCTCTTTTAATAAATAAGAAAAACAAGCTCAAAGAGGTAACTAACTTGCAACCCAAAGCACAAAGGTAGTTTATTACTATTACTATTTTAGTTATTTTTTTAACTTAATAAAAGCAAAGATAATTGGTTAACTCAATGCCTTACTGTTTCCTCCACTCCATGGTAGTTACACTTACCAAGTTATACTAACTATTACACCATTTAGTTTCAAATACTTCTAACTTACTCTAAACTTAGTAATGCCCCAACACAATGTATTTCATGTTTTTTTTAATTCAAATGTCCCTTTCAATTGAACTAACCCTGAATATGAGTATGGGTAGGAGGGAAAGATTGCATTTTACAATAAGCCCTTACATCCATTGACTCCATGATATCTAAATAAACAGTATATGTGTAAAAAACTGTAAATATATCTATTTATGTATCTATATCTATCTCTATATATACATAGTGAAGGAAAATCTTTTGTTGTAACTCTCCTTCAATTTTAAGAAATAAAAAATAAAAGTTTAACTCATTAATGTTTTGCAGCTGTCATATTTTTGCTTTTACCTTCACAAATAAACCAAAATACAGAGGAAAATGAAAGGGCAATCCCCAGGAACTTCATCAGTCAAGTGCAACCCTAAAGTTCTGATGTCAAATGTGGCAATAAAGAACAAATAGCCAAAAAGAATTTAACAGTCCTTAGCCTCTCTTGTAGCCAAGGGGCTAAGTCTCAGAGCTATTACCTGACACTTTCAGTTGACTCCTAACCAGCCAGCGAGCTGATCCACATGGTGCACCAGACCTCCCCTACATTGTCCACTGCTCCCCTCAGCAGTGTATGTCAGTAGATCCACCTGTTCTGCTCCCCACTCTATCTTAGTGAATCCTCTCCCCCACTGCACCTCTGGCCTACCCCACTTCTTTAATGTAAAAATATATAAAACATTTAAAAACAACAATAAAAAATAGCAATCTATTAAGCAGTGTCAAGAAAGGTACAGAGATGTTTTTACCTGTACCCATGGTGAAATAATAGAGCAAAAGAAAAATGAAACTTGTTACAATAGAAATGTCATAGAATTGATGAATTAACTACATGCATTTAGCATGTTGGCTTTGCTTAATAATTTAATTTCAATAATCTGCAAGTATGAAAACAATTCTAACTAATACATGCCCACAGAGAGTTAAAAATATCTTAACTATACATCCAAATACCACTTTAGTTGAATATAATTTTGGGTTAGTGGAGTCACTTTAGCATTCTTCTTTTGATTGGCTAAAATAAGACTTTTTTTAGGAAAAAAGACTAAATGACTTGTGGTACGTTCCTTCTAGGACATAATTCCTCTGCAGCTGACTAAAGAGGCCTCAAAAGAAAGGTTTCAAATTCTCAAGTTATATTAGTTAATTTTAAGAAAATATAAAAAAAAAATCTTAGCAAAGTTATGTGCTAGTATGTAAAAATGTTGATGTAGCTATATTAATATAGTGTTCATTTGATCAAAATGAACAATAGCTAATTTTGGGAATTCATGCAAATACATACACAAAATTAATAAACTACCATAAAATTCAGTGAAGTTTCTATAATAAAAAAGTGATGTTAAAGGAGGTGGCAAGGTCAATATGAAATATATCTCTCCTATATAACTATAGAATATATGTTTGACTCAAAGTCAAACAAAAAAAAATCATATATTGTGTATTAGAAAATGTCACACTCACCCATTTTGTCATGGTGGGCTTCAGTTAACAGCGGTTTTAGAGTCACGCTTTGATTCTTTACAGAGACCTAATAAAATGAAAGAAATAAAATATAGAAAAATGCCATTGATAGATTACATTGTTTCAGTTATAAGACTAACTTCCTCCTCTTTGACCTTTTCAGTATAATGATTTGTGACAGTTAAAGGGATATAATTTAAATTTTGTATGTTAAAATTCATTCTGTGGGCCCTCCCTGGTGGTGCAGTGGGTTAGAGCACAGCACTAAGAAGTTTAAGCCACTTCCACAGGAGTTCGATCCCCGCCTGCCCCAGAGGGATCCCACATGGCGAGGCAGACCTCTTCTGACCCACTGGCTGCTCCCCTCACCAGTGTACTTCTACAATCTGCCTGTTCTGCTCCCCGCTCTGTCTCTGGTGAATCTTCTCACCGCCCCTGCACCTCTGGCCTGTACCCAGGTTCTGTATGCATAAATAAATCCTTAAAAAAAATTCATTTTGCAACATTAAAAATTTACAAAAATGTATGTGACACAAAATTATGCTCTTCTTAACCTCTGAAGAGGATATTTACTAATTCCCTTCCACATACAGCAAATAATTAACAATATATAATGCAACAATATGTATAACCACAAATGACTATGTTATCTACATTTTAAAGGGAAGCACAGATACTGAGTAATCCCATGTGTCTTGCACATAAAGATGTTCTGCAGGTCATTATGCCATTTTTGTTTGTCTATTCATAAAAATAGTAGTTTTCTACTTTTCATTTTATTTGCAATACATAATTAATTTACATGAGTAAAAATAATAATAATAATAAAAAAAAGGAGTAGAAGCATTATTGATGCCTGGTTTTACAATTGAATACACATTCCCAAGGAGCAATAAATATACTCATGGTCAACTGCATATGCATTGATTTAGTGAAAAAATTCCCCTTAGTAGTTTCAATCAATTAAAATGGAATACATTTGTTTCATATTTATCTGTGTGATAAAATGTTTTTCATGTTTTAGGTAGCTCAAATAATACCAAGTAAACACTATAAATAAATAAATAAATAAATAAATAAATAAATAAATAAATAAATAGATAAATAAATGCACACATATACACACATATATATTACATTATATGTGTGTATGTATATACACACAGATATATGTATATCCACATATATACATGCATACACATATATGTGTATATATGTGTGTGTACATATATGTAAATATAGGAAGATGATTAAAAAGAGGTAGTTTCATTAGAACAATTTTTTTCACCTATATAGCATGGCTAAATACACCATACTGCTAGCAATATTTTTTTCCATAGGTTCACATTTAAAAATATTGACGTGTCTGTGTCTGGTTGGCTTTTGATGTAGGTACATCTGTTATACAAGTGACTGCCACAGATGCAGATGATGCCAACTACGGAAATAGCGCCAAAGTGGTATACAGCATACTGCAAGGGCAGCCGTACTTTTCAGTGGACCCAGAATCAGGTAACAGCCTTAAAATCTGAGTGTGTTTCACTCTGTCATACATCTAGATGCATACTTAATGTACAGATTTTTTTTTTCTGTATTCCAAAAGCTGCCTATTCAGTGTCTTGTCTTTCTATGTGCCAGTAATTGCATGGAAACTAAAATAAATTTTCTTTATTCCAGTAGTTTACTTGAATTATTAGCTCTTAAACTGTAATTTGTTGATTTGAAACTGATGATATTAATATTATAGGAAATCAGCACATTATGTGTACTAGGAAATCATGGTGAATACTAAAATATGACAATCTGCAAAATTGTTTGTCTGAAGATTTGACTAACGGTAATTTTTTTAATCAAAAGGATAATTATGTTGATTTAACAACAACAACAACAACAAAACAAATTTCTTAAACAATAGCTCATGGTAGAATTCTTTCTACTCTGTAAATTACATTAAAAAGTTTATTACTGAAAGATTTATTTTAAGTATGTGAGCGCCTGATGTGTGTGTGTGTGATTAAATTCTACATAATGGATTTTTTTTTTACCTAATTAAATTGCACAATATCTTTCTTCTTTATCCAAAGGTATAATAAAAACTGCATTGCCAGACATGAGTAGAGAAAATAGAGAACAGTACCAAGTGGTTATACAAGCCAAAGACATGGGTGGCCAAATGGGCGGCCTTTCTGGAACCACCATGGTGAACATCACCTTAACAGATGTCAACAACAATCCACCCCGATTTCCCCAGAGTAAGAAAGTTTTCAATGATCTCATGTCATAAAGCGTCTCACACACAATGTGAACAGAAGCTATTCACATACAACAGTGGTTTTACCGCTAATTTATTCATAAAAGCAAATTCACAGCCCCTCCAACCACATAGCATAACCTGAAAACAATAATGAATTTCATTATCGTGAATTAATTTCAATCAATAGCACTAAACGCAGCCAAAACAACATAACTTGATAAATTTTTATATCATTTGCAAACTCTATGAATCTTACGTCATCTTAACAAATTGTTTGAAAATATAATATTAAAACTAGCTTCTGGAATAAGTCTATTAAAGATAGAATTTTATGTAATCTTTACAATAAGTCTGTAAGTTAATTGTCATTATTACCATTATTTTTCAGATAAGGAAATCAAAAATTAGAATTTAACTAACTTGCTCAATGATGTTATTTTTTAATCCAGTAGTTTCTATTTAGAAAACCTTTTTTACCATCAAGCAAATTGGAAACAGACTTTGCAGACAGACTCAGTTTTATATTCTGCTTTTCCCAAGTTTACAATATAATTTCTTTGAACTTTGTCTCTAAGGATTAATATACCTTATTCCTTTGGTGACTAATGTTAGAATAAATTAAATTGACATAGAGGTCGTAAAGCAATGCCACCTCAAAACAATAAATCAATAAAAAAGGAAAGCCTTCTGTCTTTATATAAGGTTAGGGCATAAGAAATGTTTAGAAATATTTCCAATTAGCATTTTTTTATGATTTTTTTTTTCTATCATCTCTTAGTCAAAGTTTAAATGGTTTCAGGGACTATGTCATGAAATATAATGGTCATGTGGAAATGCAGGAAACAGAGAAATCCATCCCCTGAATAAGTGATGGTTATTTTAAAAAAATGAAGATATATATATATATATATATAATGACAGTTTTGAAAGCCCCAAATAAACAGTTAATTGTTAATTTTCTGATCCTTTTAAGTCAACAATTCTGGATTATAATATCAGGCTTACCACCTATTAGCTAAGTAACTTTGTGATATTCACTTAATCTTTCTGAAATTTATATTTCCCATTTGCAAAGTGAGTGTTCTGTCTTTATAAATCATTTTCCAACTTTAATACACCTATAATTTTTGATGGCTTATAATTCAATATGGTGAGAAGCTACACACATTTAAAGTCAACTTTGTGAAGTCCAACATGCAGAGGAAATGAAAAAAAGTTGTGTTTTTTTTTTTTTTTTTGTCATTTAAAGAGAAAATGCCAAAACAGTGCTGATTTAACTTTCAGGTACGTATCAATTTAATTCACCTGAGTCTGTGCCCCTTGGCACCCATCTTGGAAGGATAAAAGCCAATGACCCTGATGTTGGGGAAAATGCTGAGATGGAGTACAGCCTTGCTGAAGGAGAAGGAGCTGACATGTTTGATGTCATCACTGACAAGGAAACACAGGAAGGGATTATAACTGTCAAACAGGTTTCTTTTCTCTGTCTACATTTTTTCATCGAGCACTTTATTTTTGCTTTTCAGCTAAGGGATGAAAAGTCTAGCATATATTATTTCCCATCTTGTAGCTGCTGTCTATCTTTTGTATATATTGCAAACGTTGTGATTTCATACAAAGTTAAGCATCTGCCTCACTGACAATAAAAGTCTTCGCAAATCTCAACTGTTTCTGTTTACAGGGAGACAAGAAAGAAGCCAGAAGTAGGGAATCTCAAAAGTACTTGTCTTAAATTTCTCCGCAGGAGAAAAAGTAGGCATGAGGGTATTACTTTATTTCATATATTTTTTCAAAATATTTAAATTGTTAGGTGTGATGGTTTATCCAAATAGAGAAAGCTTGTAGAAGCTTTCAAACTTAATTTGTCAAATAAATTTAATTTATTGTCAAATTTATTTAATTTTCATGCAATGTGAGAGAGCATTGTAAAACTTTATAAAGAATAATCCAGCTAAATATTGGTTAGTTAATATTGCCCTGGCTTTCTGTTCTTATTTACATCTTGCTTTCCAGATGTGATCCATTTAGTGAAATAATTATTTTTCTTTTTAAAATATAAGTTTTAGAAGTAGAGGAAACAAGCAGCTTATACGAGTGGTATGAAAAACCTGTATCTTATTGTTCGCGACAATTTTTATAGTGTGTGAACTGAATAATGATAACATCTATAGATTCCCTCAGGAAATATATCATTTACTTGAAAGCACCAAACTGAAAAATATTACTAAATGGGACTCCAGCTTAATGTGCATTCAATTACATTCAGTCACTCTCCCAAAATGTAGGGCAAAACAAAAATTCACTAAGTTAATTTTCTGTAACTATGAAACAATTATAGGGAAAGTTAGTTATTTATACAGAATTACTCATACCATTTACAGTTGGTTATTAAATATGAAATTGGCCTCTATTGTTTTGTCTCCTCTATTATTTTTAAAGATTTATTACAAAAGTATTTTTTTGGTCCTCCCTGGTGGCACAGCGGGTTAAAGCACTGCACTGAGAAGCTAAAGCCACTTCAGCATGAGTTCAATTCCCACCTGCCCCGGAGGTGACCACATGGTGTGGCAGACCTCTCCTGACCCGCCCACTGCTCCCCTCGGCAGTGTACTTCCTCGATCTGCCTGCTCTGCTCCCCACTCTGTCTCTGGTGGGTTAGCTCCCTGACCAGGAATCAAAATCATGCTGTAGTGGCTGGAGATATTTTGATAGTGCTGAGTTATGACCACTGTACCACCAGGGAGGCCCATTTTCTGCTGAATTGTACTAATTATTCTTAATTTATTTGATTTCAGAATTTAGATTTTGAAAACAAAATGTTGTACACTTTAAGAGTGGATGCAAGTAACACTCACCCTGATACACGATTCCAACACTTAGGACCTTTCAAAGACACAGCTGTGGTCAAAATATCTGTGGAAGATATCGATGAGCCTCCTGTGTTCAGTAAAGTTTCTTACTTAATAGAAGTCGATGAGGATGTAAAAGAGGGCAGCATTATTGGACAGGTTACAGCATATGACCCAGATGCCATGAACAATTTAATAAAGTAAGTCTTTTTTTTTAAGAAAAAGTGTATTTTATGAAGATTTGTTTGCAGAAAAATAGTAACCAGTTCATTATTTTGGATATGTGACAGTATTGTAAAATATATGATTAATTGGTCCACATTATAATACCAAAAATTTCCATGACACTCTTAGCTGAAATTAGTTGAATACTCTCTTCTGAGTGTTCTGCATATATTATTTCATTTGATGTATCCCTTTTCAAAGTAAATCCCATTATTATACCTTCCTGCAGATACTACAACAAAAGCACTGAGATTTTAATTAATGTGACAGATAGTCACAAAATTGGGTTTATAAAATAAGGCCATCTGGCTTCAAAGTCTGGGATTATAATCCTTTAACTATTGTAATTCTTGTCTCATTGTTCCTCTTGGGTAATCATAGGTAATAATGTGCTCTTAAAATATTATATATATATATATATATATGCACATATATATATATACACATACATATATATGTGTAGACACACACATATATGTGTGTATATATATATTTGTATATATGTACACATATATATGCATATATATATTCTAAATATGGCATTTAGAGATACCTTCAAAATGTCTTCTTTTTAAAAATTCTTTAAGAAAGCTGTGTATCAGAATTTTGGAGGAAAAATGCTAATTATACTCAAATAAAAGCATAATTAGTGAAGAGATTAATGGTATTTCAAGGTGGTAAAAGCATAAAAAAGTAGTATAATGTGTATTTTTTATCTCACATTCTTAACCAAAAATTTTAATTAAGGTATTTACAATCCTTGTTTTTTTATATATTTTTTTCACTGCATGGCACAAATATTGTGTTTATGATACAAGCATCAAGGGGCACTGAAACTGACCAAGGACATCTCCCAAATAGTTTACTGGTCACTGTCTGAGTTCACCCACATGTATAATTTTAAGGTTACTCAGGCTTGGGAAATAACAACAATGAGATTTATTTAACAAATTGGGGGATAAGAAAGAGTTACTGAGGCCAAACTGGCTTTTACCTCACCTGAAGCAGTGTCCAGTGTTTTTATGTCCTAAACACAAGTAGCTAAGATGGTGTCTTCCCACCACTGAGGACAAAGAGATCCTCTCCTGAGCAATAGCCCGCATGTAAGATGGCATCTTCCTGACACTACGGACATGAGACAGCCAGACTATCGGCCAGCTTTCAACTCATGTAGACAGCAGAAAACACAACAGACAGTGCTCTCTGGGCTGCTGAGATGTTTCAGCACAGCATCAGACAAGCAGCACTCAAAATAGCAGCTGCAGCGGTCAAATAACATAACAAATGGCCACACTCAAGCATCCCAATGAGGCACCTGGCTGAGGTCCTTACTTCTGTTAAGTTGTAACAGCAGCAAAACCGGGAACAGTTTCAGCAGCTCAGCTACTTGCAAAGCCACCAAACTTTTGCTCTCTGAGTTTGGCTGCTTGAGACTCTACCTTTAAGAGGCCCAGAACAGCTCTCGGAATCCGAAATAATGAATCCCCAAAAGCTGAATCCAGAATATTAAATTCTCACAGCTAAGTCCAGAACACTGAATCCTCAAAAACTGAATCCAAAACACTGAGTCCTCAAAAGCTGGATCCAGAACACTAAATCCCAAAGACTGAATCATCTGCAGCTCCTTCTGCAATCCCTTATATTTCTTATCAGTAGCTCTACCTCCCAAATGTGATACCTTGCAGCGTTTTCACTGGGTCTATCTATCCTCACCTGCAGCCCCCTTCTAGGGGACACCACCTGTAACAGGCCTTTGGCTTCAGCCACTGTTTACACTCAGTGTGTTTAATACTGAATAATTCCACATGTTTTAACATCGTCAACTGTATGATTAAATAACTTGAAGTTGTTTAACCCTTGTGAAACTTGACTTTGTGCCTTTTGAGAAGCACTTTTTCTGGGACTAGTTTTGCCTTATACATCAGGTCTTTTCTTGCCATCTTGTCAAGTAATCTGGCAAAGCCCTATGATTTATGAGGTTTTTGGTTTTTTTTTTCTGCTTTGGCTGGTGGGAATGAGAGTTTTTTCTAGACACACGCCACTCTGGAGCATTGTGCCCTTCAGCCTCTGTGACTGATCACCTGCATGGATTTCTTTTTTTCTTTTTTTCATCTTTTTCTCAGGTGTGCTTTGAGCAGCATGCACCTGAACAATTGGGTGGATTCTCCTCAGGATTCTGGCGTTCTCCCCTTTGAAATAGTCTGGTCTCCAAATGCTAGTCAGCTTCATTTAGCTGAACTCACATCTCCTGAATTCAGGGAACTGGCACACTTCCTGAAGGTTCCACTCCCCAGCAAACTAGGGATGTTTCATGATCACATTGGTTTGCTTGACTCAGAAGTAACTGTCTTTGTTTCTTAGAATCTAATGTTTTAAATATAACTATTTCATATATTTTATCCAGTGTCTAGTTTTCTTAAGGATTTGTAATTTCAATGCCTATATTTGCTAGGGAGTCAACATACAATATGTCAAGATGGTTTCATTTATATAATTGCAGTTATTCATTTTAGAAAACATGGTTGTATGAGAAATTTTGTAGCAAAACATATCCCTATAACTGTCCACTCAGTAGAAGTCATGGTGCTTTTGAATTCTACTTCCATCATGTATCTGAACTGTCAAAAGTTCCATAACTATTTCATTAACTATGATTCACTATAATATACATGTTGGCTTATCCATTTTTATTAATCGTGAACATTTAATATTCCATTTAATTTCATAATAAACATAATATAAATAACATTATCTTATAGATGATACAACACATTATGAAAGTTTAGTTGCTTTGTAATTGCACATATATATGTATATGTATATATATATATATATATATATATATATGTACTCACATATGTGCATATATTCTTCCTTATGTGTGATAATTCCCTCAGGATACTGTATTAGAATAAAAATTCTGGATCAAAGACTAATGGTATTATTTTCAATCTTGTTTCCAAATATATAAATATGGCTGATACATTTTTAAGTGTATATATAGCTCTTCCTAAACAATTTATTTTTTTATATGGTACACAACTATTAGGAAAAAAAAACAGTAAATAATAGTGTTACCTGTAAAAACATAAGAATTATGACAGGGACAATCAAATATCAAAAGAGCAAATTAATTTCAATTTATGTTCCTAAAATCATCCTGCTAAGTCTGCAATATATTGTTTATACCAAAAATGTTGAATATAGTTGGATTCCTTTTAATATTAAAAAAAAAGTCTGACAAGTAAAGCTTTAGATTCCCAACTACAGTGTGAAAACCCAGAAATAATTCAACACAGAAAATTCAACAAGAAGACCACATTGTAAAGTGTGACGCTTGCTTGCTCAGGTGCAATTTAAAAGAATGACTGTTCCATAGCCTAGAAATATGCTATGATAAATATCATGGAAAACATTTTTCCAGGGAAGAGTTGGGAGCTAATTCTCACCCACCAGTAAATCTGTTCATCAAACCTATTTTCTAAAATGCATCTGCTACTTGCAACATGAGATTATGATTACAATTAGCAGCTGTTGTCAGCTCTGCTTCACCTCATTAGTAATCATGGATTTCCCAAGTTATAGGGTTGATTATAGCTTTACAGGTTCTGAAGGAACATGTTGTCTCATTTCACACCTATTTTATGCTCACCATAAAATTCAACAAATTTTAGGAAAAAATCCTTTTTACTGAAGTGAAATCAAGAAATAAGTACAAAACAAACTTGTGAGCAAGAAATTTAGTTTTGTCTCAGCAAAATACAACACCTGATTCTGTCATAAGCCAGAACAGGGAAATCGTAGACTATGAATATATTTATTTATTTATTTATTTATTTGTATTTTATAGAAGTGAATATATAAATTCATATGCATCACTGCTTCTTTAATAGGTGCATGATTTTATTACAAAGAGTAAAATGATAATAATAATGGAAAAATCATGGGACTAATATATACAAACAAAATTTGAACTATTTGTTCAAACTTTGTATAGTGGCATACTTTTTGAAAGGTAACAAAGGTTCATATCTAGAAATATATTTTTAGAAAGCAATGGTTGGAAAGGAAAATACAAAGCCAAACTTAAAGTATGTTCACTTAGTAGGATATGGACCGGGATTCAGTAAAATGAGAGAGATGAGACCTTTGACACATCTCTGCCTATTACTAAAATGTTCTGATGCATGTTTTTTTTTTATTGTAGAGGGAAATACATTTGCTACATGTTTAGTAGTTAAAAATGAGACATCAATACACAAAGGAAAAAAAAAAAAAAAACTAAGCCAGTGTTCACCTCCACTAGACTCAGTTATCTTATATATTTTTCCTTGTCACTTGTATCATTGATAAAGTCTCTTCAGAAGGTAGCATTAAATTATTCTCCAATGTTCTTTTTTTAATTTGTTGTCATAATTCAATGTAAGGGTACCGATTAAATATGTTTTGTTTTAACAGGCCACATTCTGGGACAATGAGATAGCTTTGTCCTATGTTAAGTGTTTATCAGGCTCTTTCTGGCCATTTATTTTAATCTGTTATATTTATTACAAATGGGTGAACCAGAAGTCCTATTTTGTGTTGAAAATAGAATATTGGGTACACATAAAATTATCTGTGGGGTTTGACAAATTGTGAAATATCCTTTGCACTGGAGCAAAATTCTGATTATAGACCTGGAAGATTGTTGTGTTGATGTTAAAATGAGCTACTTTTAAATTATCAAAGGGATTCACCTTTATGAATTATTAACTTGAAAAATAATGCTTCTCCATAAGGAAGAGGAAATGAGAGGGACCAAATATTTAAGGGAGGGAAGAACAAAGGTCTGTGGTGATAGATACCGGGTATCATGGTGGTGGGAAAAGTAGATTCCATGTCGGAAGTGAGGAGGCAAATACTACCCAAAAAATGAATAAAGATGTAAGAAAATAAATAAAACAAAGCCTAAAAAAAATAAGTGCCTTTCAAGTGTGAATCTAAGAATTAGACAGCCATAACTTAGACCTAATTTGATCCAACATAAACTTCAATAATTCATTGATGGATGTATATGTTAGAATTGTTAACTATGTTTTCAGTCATAGAAACTCCCGTGATAATCTCTAGGGCAAGCAGAACAGAACACAAAAAGATTTCATTTCCTTCTTTGATTTTGAATGCGAACAGTAGGAAAAAATCCAACATCTATTCAGCCATGGCAGATAATGGCAGACTATTGACCTTTGCAACAATGAAGAAAAATGTATATCGATGAATAATGTGAACTGTTACATTCAGTCCTAACATATGGTTATGTTATACTCTTTTTCTTTGCTTTCTTTGTGTTATTTTAGGTGTACTTTTATTCATAGCAGACTCTAATGAATTGGGGGTTGGCTTTTATAAAGTTCCAATGACTTTAACTCCAAAGTACAAATAATTATATAGAATAATAATAATAATGGAGTATCAGGAATACCACATTCTTTAAGTGACAATTAAATAAAAGTTCAGAAAATTATCAACATTTTTCCAGCCACAACTTTATCAGAACACTGAGTTGAATTACCTGTTGTTAATATTAAGAACAGATAAGCTATAATAACTTAAAGATAATGCCTAGACTTCTGATTTTTGTTTTTTTCCTTGCAGATACTCTGTTGACAGACTTACTGATATGGACCGAATTTTCAGTATTTATTCAGAAAATGGCTCTATTTTTACTTTGAAGCCCCTTGACCGAGAATCATCTCCCTGGCACAATCTCACCATTACAGCCACAGAAATAAGTAAGATTGAAATAAACCCATCTGAACACATTATTTTTCAACAAAGTGAGGACATAAGGGCATTAAGAGACACTTTTTTCTTTAGTAGAATGATTTTATCATTAGCAAGATCTAGAAAATGATTTGGGAATATGCCGGGCTTTCAAATTATTTTAATGATCATCAAATATATATTTTATCCATTTTCTCTTCTATTTTACTACTGTTAAGATAGAATTATAATGCTACCTCATAAGATAATTAATCTAAGAAAATAATCTTTTCAGCCAACTTTTATTATTGTGTTTTCCATCTGGACCTTATAAGGAAGCTGAGGTATCCATCAGCAATCCCAAAGAGAAAGTGAATATCACAGAAATGATCTGTTGCTAAGTTACAAAAGGGGTGAGTGGTATCACTGCTTCTCTCTAAATTAGATTGAAATCTTACATATGTTTTCATTGCAGATAATTCAAAACAAAGCAGCCACATCCCTGTCTTCATCAGAATTCTAGATATAAATGATCATGCTCCAGAATTTGCCATGTACTATGAAACATTTGTCTGTGAAAATGCAAAACCTGGTCAGGTAAATGAAATTATTCTAAACTTACATAATATTTTCCGATCACAAAGGCTGATGTCATTGCATTCATTTACTTGCACAACATTTTTTTTCCATGAAAACTATTATTCCTTTATTTTCAGCCCTTACCAAAAATTCACAGTACTATTAAAATGATGATTTTATTTTTAGTGTTTTTTTTTTTTCTCTTATGTTTGTTATATTAAAATTCTAAGTTTGGAAAAGGAAGTAACTGACTACAAATACATTACATTTAGTAAAACTCACTATATAGTTTCATTTGGTTTTCAATATAACATTATTTCAATATTACTGTAATGTCATACTAGGGTGTGTGTCTAAATAATTGTACTTAGGATACATGCACTATTATAGCATGCATTTTATGCCATATTTGATCATATGCTGCTTTCCATTTTTTTAAGATGATTTTTTTAAAGATTTATTTATTTATGCATACAGAACTGGGGTACAGACCAGAGGTGCAGGGACGGTGGGAGGTTTCACCAGAGACAGAGTGGGGAGCAGGTCAGGAAGATCGACAAAATACACTGCTGAGGGGAGCAGCAGGCAGGTCAGAAGCGGTCTGCTGCACCATGTGGATCCCCTCTGGGGCCAGGATCTAACTCCTGGCTTACAGTCGTGCATCCTAACTCATTGCACCACCAGGGAGGGCCCTTAAGATGATTTTTAAAATAGCTTTCATTATGGAATTCATTAATAAGAAACATGTTTAAATTTATGCACCAGTTATTTAATACATATAAGAATTCCAAGATTATGTTAATACTGAGTTATTTTCATGACTAGATTATAAAAACATTAATAGATATTAAATACTAAAACCAAGCTACTATTCCATTTTAATATAAAAATAATTATTTTTTGTGGATACTTTTTACCATTATTTATCACTTAGTACAATTATTTTGGTAGTAATTTTTGTTTGTGATTTTTCTACTTTATTATTGAGACAAAATCTTGTTTGAACTAGAGTTACAAAATTCTCTTATGAAGAAATATTTGGAATATCTATTAGTTAGAGCCAATGAATAAAATGTTGATTTTTGACAAAATTTAATATTGTGTAATGACAGTAACAGAATATCTTATTAAATCAGTTATCTGCTATTTCCTTAAGGGAAAATTAAATAGATGAAAAGAACCATGTAGGATTCCATCATTTCCCTGTAAATACAGGATATAGAGAGAAATACAGTCTTGTTTTTTTGTTTTTTGTTTTGTTTTGTTTTGTTTTGTTTTTTTCCTTTCTATTAGGGTTGTCATGGACTGAATATTTCTCTCCTCCCAAATCCTTGAAGCTCTAACTCCCAGGTGGCTTGTATGAGGAGATAGGGAGCCTTTCTGGAAAGAATTAAGGTGGTTAGAAGTCCCAATAGTATGTTCTGATTTGATGAAGGCAAAGTACTTGTTCCAGACCTCTCGCCACCATGCTTTCCTGATCTTCCCCCTCGTCACGCACATGCACCGAGACAAGGCCACATGAGGACAGAGCACAAACATTTAAAAGCCAAGAGAGCCTCCCTCATGCTGGCACATTAATTTTGGATTCCAACTGCCAGAAATGTGAGAAAAGAAGTTTCTGTTGTTAAAATCACCCAGTCTCTGGTATTTGTTATGGCAGCCAGACCAAATTGAGAAGAGATATGTGCTAAATCCACTTATATTACAAAAATACAAATGAGGATTTTATTTTATTTTTTTAACCAATAAGGAATCATTGCATAATTTTCAGATTAAAAAAAAAAAGTTTTCTTTTTTTTTTTTTATTTTGTCACAAGTAATGGGGAGATTCTCTGTTCCATAAATGATGAGTTTGAACTTGATTCTTAATTTTATATATTAATTAGCTTTTTCAATATTTTCTTATAAATGGAGATCTGGTTTACCAACAAAATGTTACTCTAGCAGACAGCACCATTGAGTATTTATATTCATAAACTACTTGGAATTATTTCCTTTGATCTAGTTCTCAATGGAATAACCAAATTTTATCTATGAATACTGATAGAAACTATCAGTATACTATACTTTAGATACTATACTGCACAGCTCTCCAAGTACAACATATATCAAGTGATACAAACACCAAAGGTGGGCAGTGTGCTATTTATTAGCAACATTAAATTTAAATTTTAAGCCTACTAATATGCATAGACCTTAAAGTAACATTAACTCCTACATCACTGCAGTTAAACGTTTCTTTATACATGTATATTGTTTTATTTTAAGATTCATGCTGTGTTAGTTTCTTTCTGCTACTATGATGAATCACCACAAGCCAGCTAGATTAAAACAAGAGAAAGCTTTGCTCTAACACACTTCTAAATGCCAGAAGTCTAAAATCGAGTCTTGATGGGGCTATACTCTCTCTAACGGCTCTAGCTGAGGATCCTGTCTTGAACTTCCTCATCCCTTGGCATCCCCAGCCCATGAAGTAAAATTCCCAGCCCATGAAGCCCAATTTCTGTTTCCATTGAGGAATGACTTTTCTTCTGTAACTTGCTCTAAGTCCAACTTTCTCTTTTTTCTAATTAAGAACTCCAGCCATTTGTAGATGTGCCTCCCTCAATCCAGTAGGATAACCTATGAATTACATCTGCAAGGGTCAATAATCAATAAATTTACATTTGCAGTAGGAATATTTGCCTATTAAAATGATTTCTTTTTATTAATTTATGTTATTGAGACAAGTAATGTAAATGATAAACTATAATTGATACTTATTATTATGTAAATATATGCACAGCATTAAAATTTTATATGAATGTTCAAATACTTGTTGTAAAGCAATTTTTTTTAATTTAGCAAGGTTAAAAATACAATATATTTTAAGGTATTGAGGAGTATTTTTCTCTTAAAATATGCTTAAACTTGCCCATTGAAACATTTCAAAAACTCAGTCATATAATCAAAGGTAAAATATTTATGATTTATGATATGACTTAAAGTTAGGTAATTGTCATTCTAAACTAGAAGGTTAAGCAAGAATATTAGGAATTGTGTGTGTGTGTGTATGTGTGTATTATATATATATATGTATATTATATATGTGTATACATATATATGTATGTATGTATATATATATATATAATTTTTCAAGCTTCAATGTCCTAAGGTAGAAAAACATATTTACTAAGTTTATATTAATAACTGCAGTTTCAGAAGCATTGTATTGCCTCTCGGTAAATATGACCCTCAACAAAATAAATGAATCAGGGTTAATATCATATTGAAGCAGAAGAAGATTTAACTATTGAGTACACAGATTGGTATGGCAATATAAGTTACACAGAATCCAAAATAATTGACACATTAAATTAATGTAAAATTCCAGTAATTGCCCATCACAGTACGGTGAACTTTTATACCTGGAAGTGTTGCAATTGTTTGTTTTTGTAGATGAGAAATTTGAAGGAAAAAGGAATTAAATGACTGTGATTTCAAGTCAAACAGATGGCATACCCGGTAGTAGAAAAACAGGCACCCTGACGTGTAGCTTAGTGCTGTTTGCACTAAAAAACATTCAAAAGACTTTTTTTCCAACTTGTCATTTGCTGTTCTATCTTCTCCCTCTGGCACAGCTCTGACTTAAAGTGAGCACAGCTAAGGGCTATAATTTCTCAACTTCAAATTTGATTTTACTAAACTTTACAAGCATTAATTTCTAACTCGTTCTAAAAGTCCCAAAAACTATTAAAAAAAAAGCAAATAATTTCAATAATGTATGACTATAGGTATGGCACCCTGTATTTTGAAAACCCTTTGCTTTCTAGTATTATATCATACATTCATACATTGCTCATTTTTCCAAAATCATATTAACATTGTTCTTAGTCTCTAGGAGTGGTTGTGCTAACTACGTTTTTGTTTGTTTGTTTTTTTTTTATTTATTTTTTTATGCACCTGTTTGGCTCTGCCTTTGAAGATAGTTATTACCTATTGGAGGCAACAGATTAGTAGCGAAGTAATAATAAAATAGGCTAGTGCTTTCTAAAAATGTGAAATGAAGATGTTGGAGTGACTGAATTTTCCTTTAATATTGGACATTACAATGATAAGAAATCAAATAATGATTGATAGAGATACCCTATAAATCAAAACTTGACAGACTTTTTAAAAAATATTTTTAACATGTTACTCTAGTTAAAACCATAAAAATATTGGCTTTTTCTATTTTTGAGAATAACAGTTTTGTTTAGTTTAGTTTTTAAATGTCAGTGGACATTTACAGCATAAACGATGATTTAAAGTAGCTGGTGGAAACAAGTTTTGCTTTTTTTTTGTTAGGATTTATTTATTTATTCATACAGAACTGGGGTACAGGCCAGAGCTGCGGAGGGTGAGAGGATTCACCAGAGACAGAGCGGGGAGCAGAACAAGCAGATCGGTGAAGTCCACTGCTGAGGGGAACAGCGGGCGGGGTCAGGAGAGGTCTGCCGCGCCCTGTGGTCACCTCCGGGGCAGGCGGGGATCAAACTCATGCGGAGGTGGCTTTAGCTTCTCAGTGCTGTGCTTTAACCCGCTGCGCCACCAGGGAGGGCCCCAAGTTTTGCTTTTTTTGGTTTTATTTAATTAATGCATTTATTTGGTTTCAGTTGATTCAGACTGTCAGTGTCCTGGACAAAGACGACCCGCCCCGGGGTCACAAGTTCTTCTTTGAACCAGTGCCAGAATTTCCTCTTAATCCTAACTTCACCATTGTGGATAATAAAGGTAGAGATGGATTTTTATTTCCTTTTTTAACAAAATAGGATGAGACCTGAAGATGTACAGTTAAAAGCGGACCTGAAGCTGTTTACTTTGCTCACCACTTTTTTTTTTTTTTTTTTTTAATTCTAGATAATACAGCAGGGATCATGACTCGCAAAGATGGGTACAGCCGCCACAAAATGAGCACCTATCTCCTGCCCATCCTAATCTTCGACAACGACTACCCGATCCAGAGCAGCACCGGCACGCTCACCATCCGGGTGTGCGCCTGCGACAGCCAGGGGAACATGCAGTCCTGCAGTGCAGAGGCCTTATTGCTGCCTGCCGGCCTCAGCACCGGGGCGCTGGTCGCCATCCTCCTGTGCGTCCTCATTCTGCTGGGTAAGGCAGCAGAACTCGGGAAACTTGCACTATTCCCTCCCTCCCTGCCCAGGGAACTGGCGAAAGAAGCCCCCTCTGTGTAGCTGGAGATTGATATTGAATGTTTTTCTTAATTGCAATTTCAACTAAGAATAAAATGGAGTTTTTAGCAGTAGGAATAAGTCAAGGTTATTCCAGACACCAAAAACAAAATACAATAGTGATCACCATATAATATATATACATATATACATGTATGTATAATATATGTAATATATATTATATATGATGTATAATATATGATATATGTAATATATTATATATGATGTATAATATATAATATATGTAATATATATTCTATATGATGCACTGAATAGGATAGATTCATTATAATAACATAATTATGTATTTATAATTATGTATTATAGCTTAAAATAAATATTTTAGAATAATATAAATATATTCCATATGTATAGTGTTTAGTGCTAGTCAACCATGGTCAAATTGCTATGGATATTTAATAGGTGTTTTCATTTTTATATCAACTCCCTGAGGTAAATATTTTGTGGTTGTACAGACAGGCTATATAATTTACAGAAAGTCACCTATTTAGATCATGGAACTAACATTCAATTTTGGAATTCTCCTTTCTAACCATTAGTCTCAAAACTAAAGATGGACTTTACATGTAGTGAAGGGTAGATTGGGGCCAAAAGATGGTAGGGCCCAGTGGATTATGTTAGAGGATCATGAGTTCTTGGGTGATGGGAGTGGTGTGGGGACGTACATATGAAGAGATGTGATCCTCCACCTAAGGGTCACCTAATGTATCATATACATTGTTGTAGATCGGTGTTAATACAATGAAATGCACGCACACACACACAAAAACCCTAAAGATCACAACCAATATTAACAGCAAACACTAAGTTAGGTTTATTAGCTGTCCATCTGATCTGTCAAGGACATTTAAGTTGCGTATTACATGTAGGTAATGTAGGTATAGGGCTCAAAATTTAAAGCTTCAGTTCACTTTTTAAAAATATCACTACAGCCTTGTGGTATACCTAGTCCTGAAATAATTTTGATTTTGAAATGAAGTCACATTTCCAATAGCAAGTGTTTTATTCTAGCATGCCCTAACAGGACAACAATTTAATTCAATTAAACAGTTGTTTCACCATAAAACACCCCCCCTCCAACTAGTTTCCATCAAAGAGTCATCCAAAATGCTTATGCTTAGGACAAGAGAGCTAGCCAATTTTATGTTCCAACACTCATATGTGCTGGCTTGTTTTTCACTGCAAATCCTTTCAAGCTATCTGGATGAAATCCCTTTGGCCAGATATCCTTGTAGGACTTCAGTGGGGGGATTGACAAACGTGAGGGGGAAGCATTTCTCTCAGTTAAGACAGTCCAAGTTTTTAGAAAAACATTTTCTCAGGGTGGTTTGGAACATGGACACCACAACTATCACCATCTGATTCTGCCTCTCCACCTGCTGCTTCAAGTTGAACTCCTCTAGAAAATATTTTTGTATCCCCATGGAGATTAAATTTTGGCTTACCTTTTAGCTAAGTGCTACTGATTTCATATTGTTTTATTTGATCGCTTAGCTTCATTTTTTTTCTAATTTAGCACAGCATGAAAATGAGCATAATTCAAATTTGATTGTTTATTTCAAAATAATGTACACACATATAAGGCCATGCATACAAATGTGGGGGAGCAACATGCCCTCAAATAAGTTTAGATATGTAATTTAATCAAAGTAAATCATACAATACTTTTTTCTATGCAGATATTCTTGAAAGCTTTTGATTCTAAAGTCTGACATCTGGCTATCCTGAGCAAATATAGAAAGCACATATTTGTTATTTTTCACTGCCACAATTAACTTCCTACCTGTGTAGTGATTTTCTATTATTTTTGTAAAAGCTGACTCTAATTCAGAAGGTATTTATTATCAAAGTTCCTAAAACAATCTTGTTATTTTTCAAATCGTCAACCTAATAGCTGGACACATTTACTGCATTTTTGCAGGTAATAGAGTCCTCTCTTTGCAAGATGGTGATATAGGATGAGCGATAATATTTCAGACTTAGCCTGTTACAGTTTGAAGAAATATGGTTAGGACAGGGTCTCCCTGGTGGCCTAGGGGTTAAGTCTCAGTACTATCACTTCTATGTCCTGATCAGACCCTGGTCAGGGAGCTAACTCACATGGCTCAGCAGTCCCTGTCTCACCCATTGCTTCCCATGCTATCTCTGATGAATCCTCTCACACCCCAGGTACTTCTGGTCTACACCCAAGTGCTTCTACATAAAAAATTAGTAAATAAATAAATAAAATTTAGGACACTTCTTTTTAACCTTGCTTGTTCTAGGACACCTTTGGTTGTCAATGAACCTATTTAGAATAATACTTAAATTTATAAGAATAACTATGTAAGTAAGCAAATATATTTGTATGGCATAAAAGGTGACAAGCGGGCCCTCCCTGGTGGCGCAGAGGGTTAAAGCACCACACTAAGAAGCTAAAAGCCATTTCTGCATGAGTTCCATTCCTGCCTGCCCCGGAGGTAACCACATGGCATGGCAGACCTCTCCTGACCCGCCCGTTGCTCCCCTCAGCAGTGTACTTCGTTGATCTGCCTGTTCTGCTCCCCACTCTGTCTCGGGTGAATCCTCTCACCCTCCACATGTCTGACCTATACCCCAGTTCTGTATGAATAAATAATAATAATAAAAAAATGTGACAGGCAAAATGTGCTTGATATTTGTACTTACTAGTTAAAATCTAATGACATGTTGATTCCATAAGGATGATGCAGTATATACATTCCATGACTGTTGGTAAGAGTATCACTGTTACAAGCAACACAATTTATGCTGACATTCATAGTAGATATGAATGCTAAATTTGAACTATAGATTAGTGAAAATAAAATGTATTTGTTTACCATATTTTCCCCTAGGGCCTCTAAATTCTATCACATACTCCAAATTAATAACTTTGAATCTGGAGAAAAGTTGCATAGTTTTGACCTGGCAAAGAAGAAAAAGTCAGAACATTTTCCAAGGTCCATTTGTGGGGATTAGTTAATATTGTATTTATTAAGATACCCTTAAAATAATCTATCTACATTGTTGTTTGTGGGTTTTCTAATCTTAAGCAGCATGGTGGACCAACATTTTGTTACCTGCAGTTCTGCATCCTGTACAAGGTCAGAACTGCCCTTCAGTAATCAGTCAGGGGAGCCAGATGTTACAAAGTGCCTTTCAAATCAATCAAGACCTGAAAGCTTGATCATCCTGGGAAGGGGAGGCATCACGAGATATGAGTGGGAACGCCCAGGAAGCTGAGGATGGAAGATAAACTCACTACTGGCTCATACATCATGAGGTGGGACTGGACATGCGTGGGGGGATTGAGGACCAATGTAAGACCAAGGACCCCAGAAACTGAGCAGTGGATGCCTTGTTGAAACGATTGAAACCCTGGCTGGGGACCTAGGGCTGAAGCTCAATGACAATCTTGAGTCATCAAGCAGATGAGAAGTACCTGAAGGAAAGACTCACCAGCCCTCACACAATAGTTAACAGTCCCACTCTTCCCTTTTCCCTTTCCCTCCTTCCTCCTACAGCTAATGTTGTCAGATTATTTTATCAATAAAAAGGCCCAAGACCTTGCTCTTCAGCAGCACCCTGCACGATGTAGCCTGCCCCACGACACCCATTTCTTTACAGTGTGGAGCCGCCTGACTCAATCGTTCTTTTATTTCTAAAAAGTAGAGATTTTAAATTATTCATCACATATTACATTTATAGAGAACCAGTTTTTACTGCATGGTTCGTTAGTTTGGTGAAATTTCAGCTTTATATTGGACTTAGTTAATTTAAGTTCATTCTGGAATAGAAGAAAGTACAAGTATGTCTCATTCTTGCCGAATAGATTTTTTTTTTTAACAAGTCCAAGTTTTAAAAAATGGTCTCCAGCTCAGCACACAGAACCTGTTCTGTGGAAGGGTGAAAATACTTTTTTTTTTTTAAGATTTATTTATTTATTAGTACAGGACTGGGGTACAGGCAAGAGATGCGGAGGGTGAGAGGCTTCACCAGAGACAGAGTGGGGAGCAGAACAGGCAGATCTATGAAGCACACTGCGGAGGGGAGCAGCGGTGGGTCAAGAGAGGTCTGCGCCAGCACGCGGTCACCTCCGGGGCAGGGGGGGATCGAACTCATGCGGAAGTGGCTTAAGCTTCTTTGCGCTATGCTTTAACCTGCTGCGCCACCAGGGAGGGCCAGTGAAAATACTTTCAATGAAATTTTTAAAATTCTTTCTACCAATTAGAAGATGTGGGGGGAAGTGTATTGACCAACATGACACTTGCATCGCACAAACCTTTACTTATGGTCTAGAGCCACAAGCCAGTCAAAGTATGACTGAGTTTGCCTTGTATCTGATAAAGATTAAGGAAAAAAATATGCTTTTTAGTCACATTTTCTTATTTTTCTATGACATACAAATATTTTGACAAAATATTTAACTGCACTGAAGTAGGGGAAACCTAAATTTTAGTTCTCTTCCACAATATGTAAGTTATGTTTTGGGGAACTGTTGTTTATATAATTATTGCATTTCCTTACATATAAAATTGCGAATTAGTCTATTTTCAATGAAATTTATATTTAAAAAAAGGTGACCTTTCTTATTTTCTTAAATGTATGTTTCAATTGTGGTATGCATTTGTCTTGCAAACGTTCAGTTTCAAGTAAATTTCATAACAATTTTAAATTCCTATGTTATGACAAGAAGTAGGAACGTGCATCACATGTGTGGGAGTTCACAGTTAACCTGATAGCCTATGTGTGCACATAATGCAAACAATACAGGGAATAAAGGTAATAAAATTAACATTGTAGCTCTAAACTTGAATGCAATTCTGTATGTTAAGGAAGTTGTTAGTAGCAAGATAATATCTGAGCTGTCAGGTAGGGTGAGCACATGTTAAAGATGAGTTGAAGTTTGAATTTTGCCTTGTAGTTACATTTCAGATCTTAACAACTTTTCAAAACTGGGTCAGTAAAAGATCTAGCTAAACAAATATATGTGGTAAGGGATGAAATGAATTGCACATATATATGTACATGTGTATGCATGCATGTGTGTATATACATATCTGCACATAGATGCATATGGTGTGTGTGCATATAACATATGATATGTATGTGTTCACATATGCCAATATATAATGAATATACATGCATATATACATACATACATGCATATATGTGTGTATGTATATATATGTGTGTGTGTATATATATGATAATGTTTGGCATATGTTCCTTTATACTAAGATTTATTTCTTTATGCGTCAAGCGCTGGGGTGTAGGACAAAGGTGTATTGGAGGGGAGAGGGTTCATCAGGGACAGAACAGGTAGATCTAACCAAGTGCACTGCTGAGGGGAGCCGTCAGTAAGACAGGAGAGGTCTGCTGTGCCAAGTGGGTCAGCTCCCTGGCTGGGAATCAAACTCATGGTGCAGTGCCTGCCATAGGCCCTTAGTGCTCTTTT